GTGTGAACTTGTTTTTTGTGTGCTAATTTTGTTGTAAATACGCTCTGCACTGCCTTCACCATTTTTTTTTAACTCTGGGAGTATAGAAAATAAACCCAAGCACTGGACTCCGATTGTTTGATTTTTTGTTTTGTTTAGCATTTCTAGGAAAGAGCCCCGTTTGTCATTATTTGACTTTGAGTGGATTTCATTTCATTTCATTTTCAAGCCCTTTATTGTCCATTTCTGGGTCAGGGGGGTGGCAATGAGAGCTGCCACTCATTGCTCATAGCACCAGTCCCTCACTGATCCTCTGCAGGGGGTGAGTCCACAGGAAGATGGCTGCTCTGTCAGTGGTGAAACAGCCTTGGTCTGCTGAAGAAAAGCAGGCCATGATGCTGCTACCACCATGTTTGACAGTGGGGATGGTGTGTTCAGGGTGATGAGCTGTGTTGCTTTTACGCCAAACATATCGTTTTGCATTGTGGCCAAAAAGTTCGATTTTGGTTTCATCTGACCAGAGCACCTTCTTCCACATGTTTGGTGTGTCTTCCAGGTGGCTTGTGGCAAACTTTAAACAAGACTTTTTATGGATATCTTTGAGAAATGGCTTTCTTCTTGCCACTCTTCCATAAAGGCCAGATTTGTGCAGTGCACGACTGATTGTTGTCATATGGACAGACTCTCCCACCTCAGCAATAGTTATCTGCAGTTCATCCAGAGTGATCATGGGCCCCTTGGCTACATCTCTGATCAGTCCTCTCCTTGTTTGAGATGAAAGTTTGGAGGGACGGCCGGGTCTTGGTAGATTTGCAGTGGTCTGATACTCCTTCCATTTCAATATAATTGCTTGCACAGTGCTCCTTGAGATGTTTAAAGCTTGGGAAATCTTTTTGTATCCAAATCCGGCTTTAGACTTCCACAACAGTATCTTGGACCTGCCTGCTGTGTTCCTTTGTCTTCATGGTTCTCTCTGCGCTTTAAACAGAACCCTGTTTATTTTGAGACTATCAAAGAGCAGGTGCATTTATGCAGAGACTTGATTACACACAGGTGCATTCAAAGATCCTCACTGAACTTCTGGAGTGAGTTTGCTGCACTGAAAGTAAAGGGGCCGAATAATATTGCACGCCCCACTTTTCAGTTTTTTATTTGTTAAAAAAGTTTATATTATCCAATAAATTTTGTTCCACTTCACGATTGTGTCCCACGTGTTGATTCATGACAAAAAAAAAATGTTATATCTTTATGTTTGAAGCCTGAAATGTGGCGAAATGTTGAAAGGTTCAAGGGGGCCGAATACTTTTGCAAGGCACTGTATATACATATTATAATATATATACACATACATACATAAACACACACATTGCGTTAAAAAAATTAATGCTTTTAACGCATGTGCCAAGTGACAGGCACCCCGGGCTCGTGTGACTGTGAATGGGAGTCCGCAGCGTTCTGGGGCAGCTGCGTCCTGCAGCTGTGACCGGCTTTCGTGAGCGACTTTCAACAGCACGGGAACGCGCAGCAGTACGTGGCCATGTACCCAATGCCATATACAGTAGGTCCCATTTCGTTTTGTCGCCTTTCACGCGTGGATAGCTCGAGACTCGCGTGTGAAACACGCGTCTTTTATTTTCTTTCCCCCCAGTGATGCTGCAATGACCCAAACAACCACCAGGTGGCACTTGTGAGCAGGGTTGGGAACAATGGCTTCTCACCGCTCTTTGTTCTCTCTTCACCAGACAACTTTCTGTGGCTTTATAGCTCAATGATAAGAAGCTAGACTCTGGTGCGAGAGGACCCGGGTTAAAGTACAGGCTATGACACTTTTGATTTTGTTGACGTTTACGTTTTTTCTAAAACATACTTAGTAATTAGGCCAACACATTTAAAATAGTTGCTAGACTGTAGTAAACTTGTAAAACGCGCTGGGTGTCACACATGGCTGGGTCTCTCTCTCTCTCTGGCCAACATAGTATCACTAGGCAAAACAAGTTTGCACGCAGTCTTATACCTGAGCGTTTAAGTCGCTGGCAGTGCTAAAGCGGACTTAACCTGCCACCTTGTGGCGATAAGATGTAATATGTTTCACGCAGCTGCGTTATTGGTGAAAAGCGTGAGTGAAGACGACAAAACGAAATGGGACCTACTGTACATGCACAAGACCACTGTGTGCACTGATTACGCACAGGATGCACAATAAATACAGCGCTGCAAGAAACAGTGTCTCCCCCGTGTCTTCTAACGAAGCGAAAAAAAGACGCTAAATTAAAGCTGAGGTACCTAACTTTTCCTTTGCACTACCATTTCATGTTGTTTTTGCCCAAAGTGAAATGTTGTGAGCAAATCAAACAGATTTAATGGATCCACAGCCTTTATGAGAGAGAAGAAGAAGAAAGAGGAGGCTTTAGCAGATGCGGAATATGTCGAGTTGAAAAAAGTGTCCACTACAGAAAGACAGAATGTTAATGCCATTTTATTTGGATTTATTTTTATAATAAACAAATACAGTACATATGTACACTATGTCATCATTTATCTTTCCATTCAAAGAAAAATATGGCATAATTTTGCCGATCAGCCCTAATCTCACTCTCTCACACACACACACACACCTGGGGAAACGTTTTCCTGTGAGGGCCACATAACTTTTTCCTTCTTCGATGGGGGTCAGGTCAGTTTGTAACTGAAAAAGTGTGATGATTGCAGCATTGAAATAGTTACTAATAGTTAATAATGAAAAAAGTTCATAACTAAGGAACTTTTTATTGCAAAAGTCCAACTTTATTATCAAATACACAAATGAGTGTGTTCACAGTAAAGTGTCAATCAAAGTATCTGGACTTCAAAAGGTTATAACTCTAAAACTAAAATTACTATCACAGATTGGAAAAAAAAATTTCAAACACAGACAGATCAAAGAGATAGTGTGGATCAAATCAAAAGGAAAGATTGACAAATATATTTTTGGCAACAATTTAAACGACAAATATCAGCCTCCGATTTGACCATTCTACTGTGACGCCGGTTACATATAAAATATAATGTCCTCAGTCTGAAAAAGCGGCAGATGAAATCCCACAAGATTTACATGGTTAACTCAACATAAGTAAATCACTTGATTTAAAAAGGAATCGTTAAAAAAATAAATGACCCTTGAAAAATTTGTAACGGACGTGATGGTTTCCGTCCATTTTTCTCTAACAATTAAACTTGAGAAGAAAAAAAAATCTGGTCTGGTTTCACATTTAACTCATTGACTGCTAGCCATTTTTGAAGATTTCACTGATTTAAGACCCACAAAATATTGTGTGCTATGTCTATGTGAAATACAAAACCAGATTCTGAAAGACTGGACTGTCTTCTTTCATCAGAAAGAATAAGTGTTTCTTGCTAGTTTTGTTCTTCTGTTATCCCCAGTCGAATAGAGGGAAGTTTGACAGAAATCACCGGTCTCAGAAAAACTTTGTCAATGCCAGTCAATGAGTTAATTGGTTGACTATATGAAATTATCACTTTGTTTCTACTCTATGTAAAAAAAAATAATAAATAGAATCTCTTAATTAAATATTAACATCTAAAAATATGTAACAAACTTCCGCAAAGCTCGTTCCGTCAAATCATCACGTCCGTTACATAAAATAAACTATATAAAAATATAGGGCCACTATAGGAAACTTGTCTAATGTCCATCCATCCATCCATCCATTTTCTACCCTTTAATCCATTTCTGGGTCAGGGGGGTGGCAGTCAGAGATGCCACCCAAGTCTCATAGCACCAGCCCCTCACTGACCCTCTGCAGGTGGTGAGTCCACAGGAGGACGGCTGCTCTCTGACTGTGAGCATAGCCTTGATCTTTCAGTGGGGGCTTTGGGCAAAGTGGGGTTAAGTGTCTTGCCCAAGGACACAACGACAGCAGTCATCAGTGGGAGTCAATGGAGAAGGTGCAGAGGTGGGAATTGAACCCACAACCTTCTGGCCTTAAGGCCAATGCTCTACCAACTGAGCTACTGTCATACATACTTGTCTAATGTATAAAACAGTTTTGTTCTAGCAACTTCTAATGGACAGAGGAGGTCTTTGGATACATCAAAAACATAAAATATCTTTGGATTATTAAAATCAAATGTTTTGCCTTTTGTCACACTTTTGTGCCCTTTAGTGTGAACAAGCCCATATATGAAAATACTCTCTGGTATTGTTCAGGGGGCCGGAGCAAATGTAGAGGGGGGCCGGGTCCGGCCCGCGGGCTGTAGTTTGGGGACCGCTGCTGTACACCAACCACTGCACCTCCAGCCACGACTCTGTGAAGCTGATCACGTTCGCGGACGCCCTCATTGGACTCATCTCCAACAACGATGAATCGTAACTCTATTTTAAATTTTCTCCTGCTTTTTATTTTTTTATTATGCCTTCTCTACCCTTACCTCTCTTTCTGACTGTTGCACTGAGCCAAAGCAATTTCCAAGTCTGACTTCCTGTTACTTACATGGCAATAAAAATAATTCTGATTCACAGATGGTGGAAACCGTGAGAATTTAGTTTTCGGCGGAAAAAGTGCAGAAAGAGGAACTTTCTCTCGTTGTGTTTCAAAAGAGAAAACGGATGTCAATCAGTTTTCAATGGAAAACAAATTGTCTGCTGTTCATGACACATAATGTGAACTAATTCACGTTCTTAAAAAATGTGCTGCGTTCAGTTCAACGTTCATGAAAAAATGAGTGTGTTCAATGAACGCGTTCTTTTGAAATGGGACCGAGTTGGAGTGGGTCCTGTCAACTCGTTATGTCCAAAAGACAAAATAATAGTTAAAAAAACGTAGCAAAACATGATACATGGATACATTTAGGCTCCCGGCCTAAATGTATGAATGAATAATTGCCATGTGAAGCGTCCATGACTCTCCATGGTCTTGCTAAATAAATTACTTACTTCCTTACTAAATGGACTTTTTTAGACTGGCTCGGAATGAGGCTTGTTGTGCAACTGACCCAGACACACTTTGAACAAATTTACAAACCTGCAGAGATCCGAGGAGAACATGTAGAGTCTCTCATTTTTAGTGATCATAGGGTGAAAAGTTGCTCCATTTGTGCCATTAATCATGTTGCATTCAGCAGTTGTCCACCAATCCAACGATCTATATACAAACAGGCAGGCTTTCAAGAGTCGCCCTCAATATCCTATAGACTTGGGCTTACCTTTTACCATTCCATGTGTCCACTGTGGCAAAGTCTTTGTAATTATTCAGACCAGTCAAAAATACATATTCTCCATCATTGGAAGCGTTATTCTGTAAGGGAAATAAAATCACAACAAATTGCATGTTGGAAAATTCAACATACGAGTAAAACTAACAAACCTTGTAGAAGAGTCCAAAAACGTCATTAATATTTGGTTTGATCCTCTTTAGGCTTTTGAGTAAAGCATCTTCATAGCCCCAGAGAAGATCCCCTACAGTGCGTGTGGTAAACAAGCCTTCTCCCAAAGATTTCATCAAGTCGGATATTAAACGGGCAAAGAGTGGTTCATTCTTGAACTGGTCCATGACAGTCTGTTTACAAGGAGAGTTTAGGAATATATATTTTGGATGGATGAATGCAAAAGTCTGACCATTACGGGGATGTTAACAGTCCTAATCAGATCCGTCTCTGGGCCTCTTGACATATTTTGCTGAAATATGTAAGTCTTTTGGTTGACAGCTGATACTTTGGTTCCATTTTCTAAAAAGATGACTTCCTCCATTGGCCGGTATTCCCTATTAAATGAGAAAAAAAATATTTCAAGAAAGAAAAAACAAACAATCTGTTTTATATTAGTTGGATTGCTTGGACTTTGAAGAATTTGGTTGACAGATTATTCCAAATCATAATATTCATGCAATGTACTAAGGCTGCAGGCAGCGAACAATGGTTTTAGTAGATAAGCATTCTATTTATTATTACTGTCTATTCATTGAGTTTTACTGTTTTACATTGTTAACTGCATTTTTATCATATATACTTAGGAAAAGTATGATTCACATTTAAAAACAAAATAAACCTAAATTATGATTTCATGAAGAATATTCATAAATGCTCAATCAGATCTCAGTCGTTTATAGAGTCGTGTTGGCACAACACAAACATTTTTTGGGTGAAGCAAATGCAGGAGAAATTGATCTGCAATAGCTTTAAGCAGCATTATTAATAAAAAGGATTAATCAAGGCAACACAATTGCAATTAAAACGTTTTTGTAATCGGTGAATTGGATTAACCAAATTCATTGCTTCAGCCTGACAAAATAGAGCATAGTGACTAGTGACTTTTAATTTGCTGAGCATGAGTAACATTCACTTGTAATGTAGGCATGTGCAATACAATAAGTCTCAATGTGTCCAATACACTTTTTTTTGTCCATTTCCCTATTCTGATTATGTCAATTTATAAACAATTATCTGTAATTATCACTATGAAACTCCTATTGGCAGTTGTGAGATGTGTGTTATTCTGTTAAATATCACAGTTGTTGATTTATTTGATATTCTATCCATTTATCTTTTTTTGAGCACTCCTACTGCAACAACTGTCTCTCATGTCTCTCGGTTTAAGTGTTGCCATGTGTAAATGGATTTTTAGCTTTTTAACTGACAGATCTCAGAGAGTGAAAATCAATGACTGTTTTTCTGATGTTGTTTCTGTGAGCACTGGTTCTCCTCAGGGATGTATTTTGAGTCCTTTGCTTTTTACTTTGTACACTCACGATTGTGTGTCCTCCTCTGACTCAAACTTGATCATTAAATATGCTGATGACACCACCATCATCGGTCTCATCAGTAACAATGATGAATCCTCTTATAGAGCAGAGATACAAAATGTGGTTCAGTGGAGTAAAACTAAACCTCCAGTTGAACGCATCGAAAACATGTGAACTGGTCTACGACTTCAGTCGTAATAGTTCTCATTTGCCTGTCGTAATCGACAACTCCCAGGTGCAGATCGTAGAGGAGTGCAAGTTTCTGGGTTTAACTCTAATGACCTGAAATGGGTTAAAAACACTGACCGAGTCGTTAAGAAAGCTCGTCAGCGTCTCTACTTTCTGCGTAAACTTAGAGAATTTACCACTAACTCCAAGATTCTGCTTAACTTTTATCGCTGCACCATTGAGAGTTTACTTGTTGGTTCTGTGTCTGTGTGGTTTGGAAACATCACAGATAAAGAAAAGAGACCTTTAAACAAGGTGCTCCGCTCTGCAAAGAGGACCGTGGGCTGTGAGCTTCCTGTTCTGGAGGTTCTTTATAAATCCAGACTTTTAAACAAAGCTCTTAGGATTGTCAATGACTCTTCTGGTCATCCTGGGAAAGCCATGTTCCAGCTTCTTTCCTCTGGCAGAAGATATCGCTCTCTGAGATGCAGGACATCTCGTTACGCTAACAGTTTTTATCCACAAGCTGTTATCAGTGTGAACAGAGCACTTTAATGATTTGCACTTGTTTTGAAACTGTTTTAGTCGATCGATTTCACAGTGACATTTGTTTACTGTTTTATTTGTTTTATTTTTGTCTTTTAATGTTTTATGTCTGTATTTGTCTGTGCACACTGGAGACCTTTGCTAATGTATTCCAATGTGGGTTTTGTACTGCAAATGGCAAGTATCATTCACTACTTCCTATTGACAAGTCATGAATATAGTTGTCTTCTAACGTGAAATTACTTATCTTGTAGCCTTGGAGACTGTACAGCAAAAAATTTAAACGGTATCGGGTACACACTGTCAAAGAAGCAAAGGATTACAACTACATTCCTGACCTTCAGACACAAATCATTGGCAGACGACTTCAGTCTGCTGGTGGCCTCCCAACCAGACGGAGTATCATACCGGAGGACCCACGAGCACTTGGACCAGTGTCTGGTGTTAACCCACCTCCTACTTCAGAATTGATGCGTACACAGGTCCAGAGAGGACAGGTATGTTTGTGTAACTAACCAGCTTGTTATAAAGAATAACTAATGTATAGGGCTCAACTGACCCCTTGAAGAGACATTCCAGTGTTGTATGATTCTAAGATTTAGCTTCTTCTCTCTGCCCTATTTTCCATACTGAATAATATTGATTGGATTTTTGTGTATCTTCAAGTTTTACTTTGGAATGTTACAATTTTGTAAAATGTGTCTTTTCTATGTCCCAGGAGACGACATCTGTTCCCTAACGTTGAAGAAATACAACATCACCATACTTTTTTTTATTTTTATATAACACAGAAAAATATTTACAAGAATTTTTACTTTTTGAAATACAATACAATACAATACAATACAATTTATTCTTGTATAGCCCTAGGTCACAACAGAAGTCATCTCAGAGGACTTAACAAAACCATTGAAATCACCAACACAGGTCAGAGAATCAACAGTTAAAACACATGAAGAATACAGTATAAAGCACACACAGAAGAAAATGTCCATACATGTTGTAGAATGCTAAAGTGTCCTGATCATCACCAATCCTTTCTGTTGGACACTAACTGTCCAACAAGACCCTCCTGCATCGACAAGGAAAAACTCTTAAAAAACCCAGTGGGAAAAAGTGAGAAACCTTGGAGGAGAACTAGGGAAACCCACAGGGAGGGAGACCCATATGAGAAAGGGATCCGCTCCTCCGGACGGACAGACTAATGATCTAGGACCTAAGCTAGCTACAGAACGTGGACCAGTGGACGCTGAACGTGGACAGGTCCGGTGCAGGACCGAAGCACTCCCAGGCGGGTCGGGCGGGGCAGTCCGCAGGTGTAGATGGAAGAGGCCAGGCTCAGAGATCCCGTCATCGTACCATGAAACAGACAATGGGACAACGGGTGAATAGCAATGAACAAACTACAGTCAGAATCCTAAAAATGCTAAACAGATAAAGTAGGAAGGAGGAGAGGATAGTGCTCAAGTTACCATACTTCTCCCAGCAAACTGACTCCCTATGCAGCTTGACTAACACTCTGAGGAGTTTAACCTTCTCCGAGTCTTACCTTCCTAGCCATATGCTAAACTAAAGAGGACTGTTTTAAACCTAGCCTTGAATAAAGAATAACATACAGCATAATATATAACATAATATACAACATAACACAATACATTATTGAATAATATATAACATAATATATAACATAATACAGCATATATATATAATATATACACTACATATTATATATTACCTAATTATATGCTAAATTAAAGTAAAGTGCTTTAAGCCTGGCCTTGAATGTGGAGACCGTATCTGCTTCCTTAACATAAATGGGAAGCTGATTCCACAGTAAAGGAGCTTGGTAGCTAAATGCTCTGCCACCAACAGTGACCTTTGAGACCTTAGGGACCACCAGACGTCTGGCGTTTTGTGAGCGCAACGCTCGACTTGGTTGATACGACACTAACGTGTCTTGGAGATAAGAAGGAGCCAAGCCATTTATGGCTTTATATGTTAAGAGTAGGATTTTAAACTTTATTCTGTACTCCACAGGGAGCCAGTGGAGTGATTTTAACACCGGAGTTATGTGCTCCCTCCTTTTGGTACCTGTTAAGATCCTAGCTGCTGTATTCTGAACGAGCTGGAAGCTCTTCAAAGAGGCTTTAGGGCACGCTGCCAGTAAAGCGTTACAGTAGTCGAGCCTTGAGGTGACAAACGCGTGAATGAGTTTTTCCGCGTCACTTTTAGGAAGGAAATTCCTAATTTTAGCGATGTTCCGTAAGTGGAAGTACGCCGTTTTAGTTGCTTGGCTTATATAAGCCTTGAAGGAGAGTTCTTGGTCAAAAATGACTCCAAGATTCCTCACAGTGTTACTGGGTATTATACTGACATTATCGAGAGTAACCATCTGGTTAGTGAGGGAGTCACGCAGGCGCTTCGGACCGAGTAGGATCACTTCTGTCTTCTCCGGGTTGAGAAGTAGGAAGTTAAGAGTCATCCACATTTTAAGGTCCTTTATGCAGGCACTGAGCTTTTCTAGCTGATCTGTCTGATTAGGCTTCATCGACAGATAAAGCTGTGTGTCATCTGCATAGCAGTGGAAATTAATTCCATGCTTTTTAACAATGTTTCCTAATGGCAGCATGTAGAGAGTAAAAAGAATCGGTCCGAGTACCGAACCCTGCGGCACACCGAATTCCACTCCAGAATAAGGCGACGAGTCCTGATTCACATTGACGAAGTGATATCGATCTGATAAATAGGATTTAAACCAGCCAAGGGCTGTTCCTCTAAGACCTATATCACATTCTAGCCTCTGCAGTAGAATGCTGTGGTCTATTGTGTCAAATGCAGCACTAAGGTCCAGTAGGACCAGCACTGACACTTGTCCATTATCGGCAGCTAGTAGTAAGTCATTTGTGACTTTGACTAGTGCCGTTTCAGTGCTATGATGAGCTCTGAATCCTGATTGAAAGACTTCAAACATATCATTTTCCTGCAGGTGGCAGCGGAGCTGCTCAGCTATAAGTTTTTCCAGGATTTTAGATATAAAAGTGAGGTTCGAGATCGGTCTGTAGTTTGTAAGTATTTCGAATAAATAAAGTTATTCGAAATCGATCTTGTGTAAATGGGGCTTTTGATTTTCTTTTTCTTGCACCCTCTGCTGGAGTATCTTCCTTCTTTTTAGCACTTGTCTTCCTCCCCTTTCCTCTTCCCTTTCCTGTCTGTTTAGTCTTCTGTGCAGTCTTCCTCCCTCTTCCTCTACCCCTTCCTTGTCCTTGAGGTTGACTTCCAGAGTCACTGGTTGTCTCCATAGGAACAAA